TACTTTGATTGGCGCTCGGAGTTGTGATTCAATTCCTACGGTTTGTGGCCTAGGAAGGTTGACGTCAGGTTGGCGGCAGATCTTAAAAAAACCTAGCCAATATCGTAAATAACATGATGAAAATATTATGTCGACTACACTTCGGTGAGAGAAAGGCAGAAGGAAGAAGAAAAAGATTTTTTGATACTTGATTAGGGAAAAAAAGATTACTTTCTCGTGATTTATAAGAAAAGTGGCCTTAAACCGATTGCGTGTGGAATCTGCTATCTGGTTGCTATTCTCTTCTCGAATTGCAAACATCACACAGCAAAACGTCAAAGCCAATGGATGAAGGTGGCTCGGTTCCGTAGCAGTAAATTTAAAAGTTTGATGATGATATTACTTAAATCAATAATAAATATAGCTTTTATCCGTGCTGTTTAACTTAACGTTGCTAAAGTTGCTAATGTGTTTCCAATGTACTTTTTCTAACAATTCTGCTTGCTCATCGAACTATTAACAAATGATCCGCACACAATTGCCACTTATGATTAGCGGGCCTCAGCACTTTTTCACTTTCAACGCTTTCTTAAGCGCTAATGACGCATTGTGGTCAAATTCAAAAGTGTCTCTACGCATTACACTTTTACTAATTACGATTTATGGTTTGCTTGTAATGCTTTGTGGCTTTTGCCCAGTTTCTTTAAATATCCTCTTTATCTTGTAATGCTACAGCTGTAATTAGCCTCGACCGCCTGTCTAATATGTAATATTATTCGAATTAGAACCGTTTACAGTTAATTTCTAATGCTGGTCGAAAAGCACTGTCGTTGGTCCAAGTCTTGCTAAAAAAGAAATAAGAGAAAGAAACAACTTCCATGCTTTAAAATAAATCGAGTGCTGCGGAAGGCTTCACGAATATGAACAATCAGTGAAACAAAGAACACAGCACTCTGAAGGAGTTTTAATTGGGAACCGAAACTGACCAGTGTGGCTGTGTGGTGTAAATGTTTAGATTTCATAGCACGACACGCAATGGCCGTTGGCGAGGTGACCGCCAAACTTATTGCACAATCCTGGGTGTGCTTCTCAATCGCACTTAATGACGACCGCAGAAGTTCCCTAATCATTCGACGAAACAAACTCAACTTTAATTCGCAATAAAATAAAAAGACGACGTGTGGGACGACCCCCCATTAGATGGAGTGATGACCTGTGCAAATGTGCGGGAAGTCGATGGATGCAGGTGCCTCGGGATCGTGCTTCGTGGCAGTCTGTGGGGGAGGCCTATGTTCAGCAGTGGACTCAAACAAGCTGAAATGATGATGATGATGAAAATAAAAAGATTATCAAGCAGGTTTTAGAAAGAGACAAAAGAGAGTAGCTGACAGTCTAATTGAGGGAGCGTAAGGTTTTTCAAGTAATATCTTATACATCTATGTTCACAATCAGAGAAAACTTGTACTCCCTAATGGCATCGACTTCAGAGGCGCGTTTATGCCGCGCTCCGGTTTTCGCGCCAGAAACCGAGCGGCCTGCGGAAGTGATCGCTCCGCGTTCCAACTGCATCGGCACACCATCCGCGTTGTGCAACTAGTTACGTGGCGTTCTCCTCGCGACCGTATTGAGGAGAGGTTTACGTCATTCCGTCTCGTCTTTGCCTGAAACCACTCGGATCGATGCGTCTAGCGTCCAACTTGTCAGAATTGCGGCTAGTTGAAATAGCGTTTTCGGCATAATGTGTACTCGCAGTTTGTCTATGAGCGTGACACGATGAGAAAATCTTTTTTATTGACAGAAGACTAATTTTTCTGGAAAAGGGAACAAAGGACATGGTATTTCTTAACGGGTTTAAATTAGAAATTTAAATTGTTTATAGTGCTAATCTTTGCACTTAAGATTGAACATTAAAATATGTAGAAAAAGTGAAATTGTTCGTATGCTGGAAAGGATACAACAATAGATGGCGCCAAGCATTGCTTCAAATGCTAAGAAAACAATGTAGAAGAATGCTTTAAGATTTTCGTCGGTGTGTCAATCAGCCGTTTAGCTCAGTGGCTAGAGCGTCAGGCCGCGAATGCCGAAGACGTGAGTTCGATTCCCACAGCGGCGACAATCTTTTCGCACTTTTTCTACATATTTTAAGGGTTTAAATTACTTAGTTACGTTTACTTAGTTAGTTCTTAGTTCCGATTTTTTAATAAATGATGAGACGACGAGAAAGTAACTTATGTCAATCTGATAATTTGAGGTATAAATATTCAATGGCGTCACTGGGTTTGAGCTCTTTTTCTACCAAAGGATTGAATTAGGGTGGTGGTAGTTATGAATTGCAACTGTCTAGTGCGTTGTCACACTCTTCAACCTGTCATCAAACTTACGACTTCAACTTAAAAAAAAATTGTCGTACTTGAATTCAATAATTAGGAGATACTGCAGTCCCACATAAATAAAAGCAAACATAAGACAGTTTTATACATTTATTTCCAAACATTAAATTATATACACATAACACCTAAAGGATTATTTAAACCTTATATTGTGAGTACAAAATTATAGACAAAATTATGTTAAGGAGAAAATTAAATCAAACAGGACTTGTCTCATGAATATCTCATCGGTAACAAGTTTCATCACGACGACATTCTTCAGTTAGCAGGATGTTATGTACCTACGAGATATGCATAGTAGTCTTGCTGATTTCAAGTAAATAACTAATTGGTTTACTTAGAACTTTTTCCAATTCCTCCCCATTAAAGTTTACTGACAGAAGAGACATTATATATCCAATTATAAAATAATTCATATAAATACAAAATAATTCATACTTAAATCATGTGGCCCGCTTAGTTAAAACCGTCAACCATCACATCCTCAGCACTACTTCTGTCTAAAGCTCAAGTGAATCGTACAACTTAAGTCTTCTTTTTTTTCCCGTATGACTCCCAGTACCGACAATGCCGTAGCAACTGCGCCACCAATTCATCAATTTTGAATTGAATCGTAAAAAAGTATGCACAAAGATCTGCTCATTACTTATTCCTGCCTTAACTACTTACTATATGCCTCTGAATTGATTCTTTTTGATTGATATAGTCTATAGTTGCTTTAAACATCGAGTTCAAATTCGATTGTATTCCAAATTTTGTGTATCTCTAATAATACTAGTACTTGTACTTTACTACTACCTTAAGAGCATACCCTTTAAAAAAGTTTTTTTTTAAATTTGATGCACAATTTACGGAGAAATCGGTAAACATACATAAAAATATCGTATAGAATTACCTTTTAATAATTTATAATATATATATATATATATATATATATATATATTTAAAATTATAATTAATAATAATATATTTGTTGACAGAATAATGTCACCAATCATATTACAATTGCCACTTATTTATTTTGAAATGTAACTGTCACTTTATTTGGAGGTCGTCTACATTAGACCGGCTGCATAATGAATTGATACCATTTAAAATCTTTCTTATTAATGTTACATGAAATGTCGATTGTTTCTCATTTATTTAGCATTCAAAGATTTAAATTTATGTATAAGAACAGAATAGAATACGGAAGCTACATTTATTTATAATTATTATGTAGTAATCATTTCAGTAGCTTTACATTATGTAACTTAAAATATTAATTTCTAATCCAAAATTGTTCTGAATGATGCAAATCTATTAAATCTTTGGGGACATGGCCGTTGTTACATACATTATTTTTCAGAATTAAAACAGACTGCAAGAAATAAAACATATTCGTGCATGTCTCTTGTCTCAAATAAATTGTTCATTATTTTTGTTGAAGGAGTTGGTACAATGTAAGTAAGGTCGATGAAAATGTAAGTGGTTCATTTGAAATCTAGACAGATGGCAAGGATTTTCGCTTACTGGTGACCCTATACTACCTAGTTTTGTTGCTTAGTAAATGGACCCGGTATAAATCAATACTAATATTATAAAGGCGAAAGTAAGTCTGTCTGTCTGTCTCGCTTTCACGTCAAAACTACTGAACCAATTTAAATGAAATCTATCTGTGTACCAAACACAGACAGTCTCAAGCCTGAGAAAGGACATATGCTATTTTTTAATTGGAAAAAAAAAATCTTTAAAAATATATATATATATATATAGTTTTTAAATAAAGATATTTATTTAAGCACTTTACGCGAGCGAAGCCGCGGGCTAAAAGCTAATATAAAATGTATTAAAGGTAGTAAATAATGCATGTATGTTTCATACGGTGTCTTTGTACTAAATGCATTGTGTTTTACATGATTTTTTTAATTTTTCAAAGATTACATCCAATATGGGATAACATAAACTACGGCAAATACTCAGATTCTGAACAATTATCTGAAGGTCACGTAAATACTTGTCTCGGGTGGGAATCAAATATACAACCCTCGGCGCGCAAATTGCACGATAAACATCTACGCAGATTTATCAAAAACTTTAAAAAGACGGGGACAAATCCACTTAGGATCAACACCCAGATTATTGTCACGTGTGGGAATTTAATATACTTACATTTTTTACATTTGAAGCATTACCACCCGTGCAAATCTCTATCCCTTTTTATTTTCAGCATCCATATTTCAGGATTAATATTTTTTTTTGGTGCTAGTCTCTGCACGCAAAATGAAACTTCAAATTTGATTTTCTTTAGAAAATTTAACAAACTTTAAATTAATAATAGTAATTATATTAATCCTAAAAACTTTAAGAGACGGCATCTCTTGTTACAACTGTTCTTTGTTGTTTCATACTGTAAAGTATGCGCACTAGATGGCGCCAATCATTTCTAAAAATGCGATAAACGACGGAGATAGACTACGAGAATTTCGCTCCGTGAGTTCATCAGCCGATTGACTTAATTGGTGAGGTGTCCGGGCGCTTTGCCTAGAAGATGCAGATTTAATCCCCGCAGCTCCGAAAGTTATTGTTCATTTATCTAAAAAAATCACAATTTAAGAGCCACATTTAATTTGATCCTTTGGTGGTTTCCAGGTGGAGACAGGTCGCGAGGAACTCAAGAAGGAGCGGGAGATAATGCAGCTGGTGGCGGGTCTTCAGCTTGGCTCTGATGAAGTGGAGCGTCGGGAGGTGCCGCCGCATATGCTGAGGTCCAGGCACGCGCCTAGGTAATAAACTCTTTGTCATGTAAAAGGCAGTCTGTGGCGGAGATGGACTCGGACTGTTGTAATGTAAAGGGCAGTATATGGCGATGTACCGCGGTGGAATTCAACAAGCTGAAATGATGATGAAGATTAATGCAATAGTAACATGTCTTCTCAATGATTACGGATTCGAGTACTCTTCACATCCTCGAAATATTTCTCTCTCTGAATACTTCTTTCATATGCCATTATGGTTGCCGGCAATAAACTAACAATACACCTAATTAAAATGCGAAGGCCCGAACAATATGTTCTAGTAGGGCTGTTGTAGATCATTGTCTGCGGTTTTGTACTGAACAGTGCTTCAATTCTATACCAACTTTTTATCGGTTTCTTGTTGCGGTTTTTAAGAATCTGTATTTTCTGGTGCGGTGTGGGTTGTAAATTCAACGCCTGTGATATAAAAGTGTTTGTATGGCTGATTTTGCTTGTTTTACCTTGTGTCTTAAAAGTAAAGTTGAACAATGTTCGTAGGTTTTCACATTGTTCCTTGGAAATACAGTGACAATCAGACAATGAATATATCAGGTACGTTGTTAATTGGAAGTCGTCCTTCAAAAACTACACCATTGACTTACTACTATTCTTTTCGGTTTGGATGTAATCACTCGAAAATCTTTCATTACTAAGAATGAGAGGAAATACTATTGTGTACACAATTTCTCTTTTAAAATGTTCAATTGTTACTCTTTAATGCTATGTTAACGTCTTTTGTACGTCTGGTTTACGTCTTTTGTAACTAAAAGGAGGCGAGACAAGTGTCGAGAAAAAGTCTAAATCCCGATCTTCAGAGTGCAAGAACTTTTAAGTAACTACCCATTACTAACCGAATGTTAAATATCTGCTAAAAAGAAAAATAGTGTAAGGAAATGGAAACGGTAGTAACTGATGTAAAAATTGTGTTGAGGTTTAGCTGTGGTTTCTTTAGGCGCATCCTTTTAGATACAGACCTCTGGTAGGAGCCTAAAAGATGTTTCATAGAAGTTATTTATTCCTATGGATTAGTTTGATTACAAAATCACGACGACGAAGAAAATTGCTTACAACATAAAATGAAGTGCAAATGTACCAAAACTGGTGGTGACCAAAGTTGGTGAACTTTGAATCGCGAAGTTTTGTCTGACAATATTACGTGAATAATACTTGTTTTCTAGTCTGTGCAATATAATTAATATTCAATATGCATATAATTAATTATTCCGTTACTCTAATTTCAGATAACACCACGCCACGACAAGACGCTGCCCATCCGAGCATCGGGCTTCCAATGCACGTGCGTCTCTACCGGAAACGACAATCACTTTACCTCGATCCACGTCCGATTTACGATTCGTCACAAATATACTTTGCGTCTATCACAGCCAGACGACGGCCCAACCGCGGGCGCTATCGCGTTGCGAGAGCCGCAAAAACATTTTTGTACATCCGAGCGCACCGATTGCTAAAAGGCAATCGATACCTACGCACGTATAAAACAATTTGTCACGAGCGTAACGCGGCAACTTTCGAATCACACATCAAACGCGTCCGATTCCGAATAACCGTGAAGTATCTTTGAACTTATTGCCAGATAAATGATAAGTTTTCGGGATTGCTATGCTAACAACGGGAGAAATGATACTTTAAAATCCTTATGTTTAAATTATGTTAACCTTAGTATATAATATTCATTCTAGTTTAATACTACGTTCACATTGTCTGTAAAATAATTAAAAATTGAAGCCTTTCACTCAGGTATGTTAATTCGTAGGAAATTATATCTTAATAAACAACGAACATAATATGTTGTATAATTGTTAAAACACAACAGATTAACATATTGTAGGAACTATCGAAAATATTAGAACAGTTTTGTCAACGGTTTCATATAAAATTTTGCTTTTTAAAAATAGTAATAGTTTGCAATTTTTCTTTTTTAAAATAAGCAAATATTCATATTCCTCCTTTTCAACAAAATTTTCGAAAATATATTTGAAACATGAGTTGAAATTATCGTCCACAACTTTAAAAAGATTTTTATGAATGTCTCTATTTATATTAAATATTCTGAGTACCGATGTAAAAATATGGTGCAATTTTGATACTTCTTTGTAAACTTCGAGGCCATTAGATGGTAACAGAGTGCATGATTGGGCTTAATGAAATAGGCGATTACAAATCCAACGAAATAAAGTTAATTGATCGTGAAACGAGTTACAGATTGCCTCTACTTTAATTGATTTTAAGTTTCGATAACATTGTGGAAGTAATAATTATTGTAATTTTATTTGAAATTTTATTTCACATTTGTTAAACTAGATTTAATTCAAATTATTAATATTTGATCGGTTAAAGTTTGTTTTCGGGAATCTCAATATTCCATTACACTTTAATGAAGACTACTCTTGTACCAATTTGGCTCTATGGCGATATAATAAAGCGGAATTTATGTTAAAATTAATAACTATAAAATGCGAATATTTTTCAGCTCCGATAATCATAGTTATACCATGTAATGATATGTTTTTATTTACAATTAATATTTTGCAACATAAGAAGAAATTATTTTACGGAATTAATAATGTCGTCACTGTGTGACTAGTGTAACACTTTGGTAACATTTTATAAATATTTGGAAAAAATGTTATGTCACTAAAAAGGCTTATTTTACATTTAAGTTTAATGTTTTTTAGACATGAAATCCTGAGCAAGTTATTTACAACGAATACAACAAATTTAATTAAAGACTAAAAGATTTTTTGTGCTAAGTAAATTGTCATTTTGTATATTTTTACCAATCACAATAATTTAGTTAAACTCTAACAAATACATGCTTATAAAAATAACTTTAACGGATATTTGATTATGCTTTCGGACTGTAGTATTGATACACGGGCCAAAGAACGAACTCCAAACTAGCTTTGAAAAAGACTATCATTTCAGCATTTCATGGTGTTACGATTTCTTTCTTTATGTAATGGTTATTTTCTTTTCTCTTAATTATTGACGTATTTTCTTGTCTTTTCTCTAGATAAGTTTTGATTTAGCTTCTTTAAATACCTTTTAATTTCTTTAAGAACTGGTTGATAGTCGAAAGTAAGTTAGAGAAAGAGAATGAGTTTTTAACGTATACATCTAAAAATGAGAAGATGTGAAAAAAATGTAAGAAGAATAGATAAAAATCATAAAATCTACGAGATTTTATGATTTTTATCTATTCTCCTTCTGATCGTGTTTTGATCACAATAAATCAATTTACAAATGGAATTGTGAATTTAAATTTCTTGTGACTATTGCTTTTAACACGAAAAACTATGCTTGAACTATTCCATTAAGGGAAAGACCAAAAACTTAAAAAAAAACATTTTTGAGCATATTTGAGCGTATAGTGCTACCGGTATTTGTTATAAAAGTTAAGAGATTTTCACATCAAAGTACATAATAAAACCTCATACTAGTTAAGATCTATGTTTAGGCGATGTGTACATAAGAATTTGTACAAACATAACTAGATGGATAATTCTTTTTGCTGGATGTAAGCATTGTATAATATAGGTAGGTTTTTTCTTTCTTAACTTGTTTAGTTATAGATTTATTGTAATTATTTCACGTGTTTATGTAATATGATGTTATACACATTTATGCACATGAAATGTAAAAACAATTTGCATTCCGTATCAAAATATTCTAGGCTATGAGTGCCATTAATTTTATTATTGTATTTAATCTGCATCGTGTATAAGTTTGTATTAATATTGATATAAAATCACTTTCAGAAGAGGTATCTTAATAATAATAATTACTTAAAATGTGAATTTTTTTATAGATAATTGATTATTTCTATACTCCAAGGTAACAACGATGTAATGTATTGTTCAATTTATGTATCTAAATTTGAATATAGTACCTAGTTTTATCTTAAAAAAGACTATTATTTTTGATGTATGACAACATAATATAAGTTTACGATAGTATGTTGTGGCAGTGAGGCAGGAGTATTTTAAATTGCGTTAAAACCACTTGGTGTAACAACAAAGTAAGCCGAATGGTTTATTCAAAACTTTCAAGAAACAAATATTTTAAGAATACAATCCGTCTTCTTATTAGAAATTGAAAGTTTTTTATAGTGATAATCTCTGCATTGAATCGAATCCACGTCTTTGTGGCAATCAGCCGTTTAGCTTAGTGGCTAAAGCCTTAGGCCGCGAATGCCGAAGACGTGGGTTCCCACAACGGCGACAATCTTTTTGTACTTTTTCTACAAGTTTTAACGTCTACTTATTGTTAAAATAATAAATAAAACCGGCCAAGTGCGAGTCGGACTCGCGCACGAAGGGTTCCATACCATTACCTATAAAAACTGCAAAAAAATCATGTTTCTTGTATGGGAGCCCCACTTTAATATTTTTTATTAGATATACATCATCTGTGAAAATTTCAACCGTTTAACTATCACGGTTCATGAGATACAGACTGGTGCCAGACGGACAGACAGACAGACAGACAGACAGCGTAGTCTTAGTAATAGTCCCATTTTACCCTTTGGGTACGGAACCCTAACAAACGACACCGGAGATCTTCGCTCGGCTAAAATTTTGGATGCGTAATGGTCCTTTATTTCTTTCTCATTAAAGCTTAGGTTAGAAATATTGAATAACCAGTATTAAGTAACATAATAAAATTAAAAACTGGATAAAGAAGAAGTATTTATATTTAACAATTAGACTTAATAAAGTCTCTTCAGAAAATATCTATGTTTTATACGCATAATTAAGGCTAAATGCAATAAATTTTCACTGACTGTTTTGACTGGTAAAATTACATAGTTGAAAACCTGATGCTCTTTAGCAATGATGTTTTAATAAAGATGGCGCATATCCATACTGTGTGGCGTTTTAAAATTGTACCACTTTACATTATATGACATATATAAGTGAATGTGACATGATATAGAACATATGATACGGAAAGAGATAGCAGTCTGTAGAATTACAATCTAATTATACCAATTGGAGTTATTTGACTACTTTCGTTTTTTTTTTACTTTTTTTACTACTACTTTCGGTGCGCCAGTGTCATCTGTACTTCGCGTTTGTATATAATATAATTGGCTGTTTAGGATGAAAATTTTCAATTTTTAGATTGTCAATTGCAGTAATAAACAAATTGGCGAACCTAAGTTTAAAACCGGCATCTGTGAAATTTTCAACTGTCTAACTATCAGTAATGTCAAGATAGCAAATATCAGCATAGTCAAGGATGGATAGAAGTACTGAATGAGCGAGCGCTACTTTAGTAGCAGTGGGAAGTAAATTACACAGTCTTCGTAAAGAACCTAGAGCAGCGAACGTTTTCTTACTGGTCTCATATATCTGCGGTGTCCATGACAGGCAGGCGTCAAAATTTATTTCAGATTCTTCAACTTTTTACTGAACGGGATGCGAGTAATGTTTAGAATAATTGGCGGTAAAATAGACCAGTCGATTTCAGCGGCCCACCTGGAATTGCAAAAATGTAATAAACAAATGTTCATTGTTAAATGAAATTTGATAAAACTTGATTGTTGTAACGGAATCACATTAGATAACGCCAAGCTTTGTGACAAATGCAATGAAAACAAAATTAGATAAGACATCGATTTTCGCGCGGTGAGGATGTCGACAGCTTAGCTTAGTGGAGAGCGTAATCCGGAAAGTTCTAATCCTGACAGCGGCGAAATATTTTATGACAGTTTTATGTATAAATTATACGACTTGGTTATGTGTTCCATTATTACGTGCACGAAGAGTATTATCTCGTATATACTTTCGTACCCTTCAACCGGCTTGATGCGGACGGACGTTTTCGAACTGTACTATAAAAGTTCGGTCTATAATTTGTTACGTTTACGATATACGGATGACTTTTAGCCGTCGCGATAAACAGTTATAAAACAGTTATTTATATAAAGTGATTGTGTTGAATGATCAACGCTTCTTTGATACAATCTCGAATCGGTTGCAATAATGGAATGGCTAAATTTATTGAGGATAATGGAAATGGCTAAGTTTATTTTGTAGTTCCTAGGCCTGGCATATAAATAGGCCGAGCCAGAACAAATTGTGGTGCTTCTGGTACTGTAGAAGAAATAAACAGCCCCATCCAGGTATCACAGCCTCGCAGAAGATTGGTTTCTGAAGTGGAATATTATATGTAATTTCGGGTTTCGTTTCTAGTGACTGAGGTAACAGAGGCCACTT